AACTGAAGACAAAAGCATCAAAAGTCCAACAACTGAACAAAAACTGTGAGCTATCACAGCAAATGCATAGTGAGTCAATTAGCCACTGCTAGTCTCTGCATAGGGAGCCCTGGTGGCACAGTGGTAAAGCACTCAGCTGGCAACCAATAGGTCAGCAATTTGAACCCACCAGCAGCTCTGCAGAAAGATGTGGCAATCTGCTTCCATAAAGATTTACAGCCTTAGAAACCCTATGGGGTAGTTCTACTCTGTCCTACAGGGTTGCTATGAGTTGGAATTCACTCGACGGCAAATGGGTTTGGTTTGATTTGCTTTTAGTCTCTGGGTAGGAAGACTGGTGGCGCAGCTGTTAAACACTCAACTGCTAACCAAAAGGTTGGAGGTTCGAACCCACCAGCCGCTCCATGGAAGAAAGACGTGGCAGTCTGAATCGGTTCCAACTCATAGCAACTCTATATACAACAGAACGAAACACTTCCCAGTCCTGTTTCATCCTCACAATCTTTGCTATGTTTGAGCCCATTGTTGCAGCCACTATGTAAATCCATCTCCAGTGTCTTCCACAGCGACCCTCTACATTACCAAGCATGACGTCCTTCTCCAGGGATTGGTCCCTCCTCCTAACTTGTCCAAACTACGTAAGACAAAGTCTCTCCATCCTCGTTTCTAATGCCTATTCTGGCACTACTTCGTCCGAGACAGATTTATTTGTTCTTCTGGCAGTCCATGGTATATTCAGTATTCTTCACCAACACCATAATTCAAATGCATCAATTCTTCGATGCATGAGGCTATTGAAAATACCATGGCTTGGGTCAGGCGCACCTCAGTGCTCAAGGTGACATCTTAGCTTTTTAACATTTTAGAGGTCTTCTGCAGCAGATTTGCCCGATGCAGTATGTCGTTTGATTCCCTGACTGCTGCTTCCATGGGTGCTGACTATGGATCCAAGTAAAATGAAATCCTTTACAACTTCAATCTTTTCTCCATTTATCATGATGTTGCTTATTGGTCCAGTTGCAAGCATTTTTGTTTTCTTTATGTTGAGATATAATAATCCACACTGAAGACTGTAGTCTCTGATCTTCATCAGCAAGTGCTTCAAGTTCTCCTCGCTTTCAGCAAGCAAGGTTGTGTTATCTGCATATTGCAGGTTGTTAATGAGTCTTCTTCCAATCCTGATGCCGCGTTCTTCTTCATATAGTCCAGGTTCTCAGATTATATGCTCAGCATACAGACTGAATAAGTATGGTGAAAGGATACAACCCTGACGCACACTTTTCCTGATTTTAAACCATGCAGTATCCCCTTGTTCTGTTTGAACGACTGCCTCCTGGTCTATGTACAGGTTCCACACAAGCACAATTAAGTGTTCTGGAATTGTCATTCTTTGCAGTACTGTCCATACTTTGTTATGATCCACACATTCGAATGCCTTTGCATCGTCAATAAAACACAGGTAAACATATCTCTGGTATTCTCTGCTTTCAGTCAAGATGCATCTCACATCAGCAATAATATCCCTTATTCCATGTTCTCTTCTGCATTTCTGGCAGTTCCCTGTTGATGCACTGCTGCAACCATTTTTGAATAATATTCAGCAAAATTTTACTTGTGTGTGATATTAGTCACATAGTTCGATAATTGCCACATTCTGTTGGATCACCTTTCTTTGGAATGAGCACATATATGGATTTCCTCCAGTCAGTTAGCAGGATAGCTGTCTTCTAAACTTCTTGGCATAGATTGAGTTTCCAGCATTGCATCTGTTTGTTGAAACATCTCAATTGGTATTCCGTCAATTCCTGAAGCCTTGTTTTTCACCAATGTCTTCAGTGCAGCTTGGACTTCTTCCTTCAGTATCATTGGTTCTTGATCATATGCTACCACCTAAAATGGCTGAATGTCAACCAATTCTTTTTGGTACCGTGACTCTGTGTATTCATTCCATCTTTTTTTTTAATGCCTGCTATGTCATTCAATATTTTGCCCATAGAATCCTTCAGTATTCTAACTCAAGGCTTGAATTTTTTCTTCAGTTCTTTCAGCTTGAGAAATGCTGAGTGTGTTCTTCTTTTTGGTTTTCTAACTTCAGATCCTTGCACATTTCATTACAATACTTTGTCTTCTCGAACTGCCCTTTGAAATCTTCTGTTCAGCTCGTTTACTTCATTTCTTCCATTTGCTTTAGCTACTCTACGTTCAAGAGCAAGTTTCAGAGTCTCTTCTGACATCCATTTTGCTCTTTTCTGCCTTTTAAATGACCTTTTGCTTTCTTCATGAATGATGTCCTTGATGTCATCTCACAACTTGTTTGGTCTTCGGTCATTAGTGTTCAAGGTGTTAAATCTATTTTTGAGATGGTCTCTAAATTCAGACAGGATATACTCAAGATCTTTTTTGGCTCTGTTGAACTTGTTTTACTTTTTTTCAGCTTCAACTTGAACTTGCATAGAGCAATTGATGGTCTGTTCCTCAGGCTTTGTTCTGACTGATGATATTGAGCTTCTCCACCATCTCTTTTCACAGATGTAGTCTGTTTGATTCCTGTGTATTCCATCCATCAAGGTCCATGTGTATAGCCACCATTTGTTACTGAAGAAAGGTATTTCCAGTTAGTACGTCACTGGTCTTGCAAAATTCTATCATAGGAACTCTGGCATTGTTTCTATCACCACAGCCATACTTTCCAATTACCGATCCTTCTTTGTTTCCAACTTTTGCATTCCAATTACCAGTAATTGTCAGTGCATCTTGATTTCATGTCTGATCAGTTTCAGACTGCAGAAGTTGCTAAAAATCTTCAATTTCTTCATCTTTCGCATTCATGGTTGGTGCATAAATTGGAGTAAGAGTTGTATGAACTGTTCTTCCTTGTAGGTATGTGGATATTATCCTATCACTGACTAGTTATACTTCAGGACAGATCTTGAATTGTTCTTTTTTGACAGTGAATGTGACTCTGTTCCTCTTCAATTTGTCATTCCCGGCATAG